CAGTTCCCCAATTAAACCCTTTATAAAACATTGCTCCTAAACAAATTGGATAATGAATACTACAATCAATTACAAAAGATCCCTCACCAGGAATCCAGATTTGTTTTGGTGATAGTTTATTATAGAGGGACCCCTATTTGTTTGAGGGGGGGGGGGGGACCCCCTTTACTAATCAGGATCCAACATTACTTGCACCATTCAGGTCCAAACCTGGTCCTGAACACCTCATGTTTGTCGTGTTTTTCTATGACCAGCTCCAGTTTCGGTCGTGTCGGTCGGCTCCTGACTTGTATATCAATTCTCTTCCCGGGCAACACAATTCTCCGTCAGGGGCAGTGACCGGAGTGCTCCTTGTTCCGGGAGATGTGCAACGCCCCGAACGGATCAAAAGTGATTCAGCCCAACATCTTAAGACATCTCCCCAGACGCGACCCGTACCCGAATCCTCTGGAGGGGTCCGGATCCGAACCAATCCCTATAGTTTTGAGGGACCAAGGGCTGTTTGGAGCGTCTGGGTCATTCATTCGACTGAACATGTTCCTCGGTTTATCACAAATCATATCATCCTAAATCATCACAATAGTTGTGGTGGAACGTGCTTCACCCCAAATCATCATAACACCCTCCACCTAAAAAATAGGAAAAACATCCCACGCCCGGATGGATCAGGGATCCAGGAAAGCAACTTCCTTCAAGGTTTCAGAAATTCTACTTGTTGCTTGTGAACGATGGTGGAACTCCCCACTCCCCCCAAAACCAGGGTTTTGCAGGGAGATCCTGGGTATGACACCTTTTTCGTGATCAACCACCCCCCAGTACGTCACCTGACGTCCAGTCCAGGTCCGTCCTGTCCTGGACCGGTCCAGTCTGCCGACCTCGCCAAGCTTCAGACTCTTGTCCGACAAGACGAAGTCCTCTCCCCACACGGCGCCATTCGTACCCACGCGGCTGTTCAGCGCCACCAAGCCTCGAGCGCTGAGCGCGACCGCGTTCGGCCGGAGCGTTCACCGGCGAGGTCCCGCGAGGTCCCGGTGGTCCGGCGAAGACCGGTTTCGACCCTTGGTCGGGGACTCGGAAACTGGACCATGCTATGCATGGTATACCATGGCTACTGGTGTTTTCTGGGACCAGCTGATCACTGGGCAGACTGAACGTGTAGGAATAGCTACCTGGAGTCGACCTGTTCATACCTCGGAAAAGTGGTACTGTCGTACCTGAATTGTCCTGGGGTCATATCCAATTTTCAAGAGGGTACGCACTGGAGGGTCCAGTTGTACATCATTTATGATTTATCACCCAAGATGTAAGTAACTAACTATTCCAGTCCCATGGATGGTCTGGGAAAGAGTGGTGTTTCCTTTGCGGGGGATTGCAGTGCTTCTGAATCCAAAGAAGCAGCTGGGTTTGGATGGTGATTGGATTTGGTGCTTGGGTGGTCAACAAATTTCTGACCTTCTTCGATCACACCGAGCTAAGTCAGTTCTTTTGAGTGAAGAACTTGTTGACCTGTCACAAACGATGGGCTTTGCTGAATGACCCAACTTCTCCGATTCTCAACTCGTTCATGTGCTTCACCCACCTCCCCACTTCTTCAGGGTCTTCTCCTCCATGCCATGGGACTGCGACGCCGATCGACCCGGCACCACCTCTGGCTTGATCGGCAGTCAGTCCCAAACAGCTCGTGTCGACGGGCTGGTCCCATCAGTTTCTGGTGTAATGACCCATTTTCTGAGGTTTAATTCCCTAGGCCTCCGTTTTCGTACCGAACCGCTTCGGTACGGTGGAACTGGGGGCCCGGGTGCCATTCTACGTCGGGTCCAGGAGCTACCAGCTACCGCTTCGGTTCGGTACGAGTCCTGGTCGGTGTAGGGATGGGAGGTTCCTTTGTTCCGTAGACTTCCGAGGATCCCTTGGACAAGATGTAGAGCACTTGCACGTTGTCGAAGCGTTCCTTAGAGCTCGCGGCACTGCGCCTTTAGGCACCGCTCTGCTCGCAGGAACCGGGCCACCAACATCTATACCCGGTATTTGAGACCCACATGGAACCGGGCGAACTGCATGGACCACACTGGAAGACGATGTTCCTCTACAACCCAGTGGTTTTCAGGTTCTGTTCATCTTCCCTACATTGGGGTGGTTTGGGGAATTGATGTAGACATATATGTGGCAGTCCCATAGACGTCGTGTCTGGGTATACCGTCTCGCAACCTACATGGAACCTGAGAATTGACCGGTTTCGACCATTTTCCGAATACCAACCCAGTGGTATTGGGGTTCCATGTTAATCAGTATAGGGGAGTACCTGGGCCCACCGGTTCAAGTACATTCAAGTACCGAACAAATAGGACATGACTCGACCCTATTTACTGCAAAAATACCAGAACAACAGAAATAAGAGTGGGCCAGTTTCTGGGGCCCCCATTTTTCCGAGTACGAACGGGTCGACTCCAGGTACTTCATGCCAGAAATAATTCACCCTGTTCGGGAAGAACAACAAATGGTGTAAAGCAAGCATGCAAAAAGCCAGGGTTCCCCTTGCGCAAAGGCCCCGCAATCCAGCTCGCGCGAGATGTCTGCAATGCACATACCTCAGTTGAACTTGTCAGGTCAACGGGTTCACATCGCATGCTGGGCCTTGTGCAAACATGGTTTCATACGTTTCATTTACACCTTCACCTCCCAAACACGACTATAATACTATAATGGGATTTGCGAATTTGCCTTATGATACCTTATAGAACATGGGATATGAGCCATTCACAACAGGTACCAGCGTCATCCTGTCTGGGTGTCCAATAGACTCCCCTACCTTACATAAACAGGCCTCCAGACAGGGCACCCAAACTGGAAGTGCTAGGTACTTGTACTCCATTTTCTGAGGGAACGAGTTCCAGGTCGACTCCCGGGTGGTTGAGAAGAGATGGTCGATCCTCGATCTCCAAAACCCGCGACGGCTGGACCTATCAACCGGGTCCGTTCCCCTAGCCTATAGGCCTCCGTTTTCGTACCGAACCTGAGGTTCGGTGGGACGACCGGGGCCCGGGTGCTAGGAGGATCCAGTCATACCGAACCTGAGGAGGTACTTGGTAGGTGGTAGGGTTCATGTTCATTCTGTTTGTCAGTCATTTTGATGGGTCAACCTATTGGTTTTTGTGGGGATCTAATCCGTAGCCAGGCATACACCTCGCAATCTCTGGCAAGGCGATGAAACCCCAGTGTGTGAAGTGCGACTCGTGCAAAACCGAGCCGTTTGACAGGTCTTCCAAGCTCCAGGAGGATGAAACAGGCTGGTGCAGAAGACTTACAGTAAGCAATCTTGACCATTCAATTGAAGTGGTGCTTCCCATTCCTGGACATGGATGCCTCTGTCGTTGTCTTTGTTTTGCTGCATAGGCTTGCCTGCCAGGAGATGTACCTACAAAAAGAAAAACAGGATATGGACTAACCCAGACGCTCATGGACCCTCCGTTCAGTACAGACCGTACCCGAATCCTCTGGAGGGGTCCGGTCCGGAACCAATCCCTCTGGAGGGGCACGGCTGCTTCGATCCGGAGTGACAGATATTTGGTCGGTGGTACCGGCCACTGGTGAGGAGGTCTCCCTCTGTTTGTGTCCTCCCCAGTATATATATATCAATCCTGCCCCCCAAGCGTTATATTGTTCTGGAACATACAGATGCCCTGTGTGTGTGCGCCCCTTGTAGTCACAGGGATTATTTCGAATTGTTTTCGTTTCGTTTCAAGCAGGGGGACCATCCATGTACTGTGAGCGATGGTCCAACGAAGCGGCCACAGTACATGCGGATATCTGGCCTGATCAGCCAGACGTACCTGCGATTCTTTTCGAATGGCATGAGGCTAAGCCCAGCACCTCAAAGACATGGTATCTAAGTAGCTGCAGTCGCGCACGATCCGCCGTCATCCCGTCGCTCCGTTCTCGATCTTGCGCTTTTGGCCTCACTTCCTCTTACAGACCCCCAGGATCCGATGGTTCTTACTGGTACTCTTAGGAAGTGGTACCCTAGGCCGGCGTGTGGCACCGCTGACAGTCAGTACGCATATCCATAAGTGTGTGTGTGTGTGTGTCACCCTCCGTTTCCAGGAGCTTTGTTTCCCACTCGGTTTGCAGGGGGAGCCGATTTGCCTATCCAGTCCAACGAAGCTATGGCATTTCGGTGGAGTGGTCTGATCAACCACTTGTACCTGCTTGGAACACACTGACACCAATGGTCCGCCCTCCGCTGTTCGTTGTTTTTCATGGTCTTTGCATGATAGACCCCTAAACTTCCTTTTTCCACCGCTGACTTGCAGCCGCGCTGATGGCCGGATCGCTTTTTGAGTGCAAACAATGTTGAAACATTCACCTCCACGGACTCAGCCACCTTGCGTTTCCCTCATCCATTTCACTGTGGATAACTGCAAACCCTGTGACTAAGTGCGTGTTTTTGTTGGTGGGAAGATGTAGGAATCACATATATTGGCTGTGGGTTGTGACCCACCATGTGGAGCCCGACCAGTCGACATGACCCACAGTCGGCATACATTTGTTGTTTTTAGTTTTTTGATGATCTGCTCAAAGCCTCAAAAAGCATCTGCCCTGCGGCCCTGCTAAGATCAACACTTTCGGACACTGGTTTTTGCACCCGAACTGTTCGCCAGGAGTGGAGGCGACAAAGCAATTGGTGAGTTGGGTGTCCAATGTCTTTTTCCATGTCTTGACTTGATCTATGTGACATGTCGCCTTCCAACCAAGATCCCCACATCTCAAGTGGCGTGTGCATGGGGTGAATGCACACCCAAATGGAAAACTCTTGGTTCCTTGAGAGCCTTCAAAAATACTTCAAGACTTAGTGATCATCTCTTCAAGGACCCAAGACGTTTTCCAGTTGGGACTACCCAACCGCCGAGAGAAAACTCGATGGTCATTGGATGGTCCACCGGGCGCGGCATTCAGTACTCTGGAACACAGACTCCCTCCAGTAAACTGATCTGTCCACCTGCTTCTTCTTAGCCCTAAGGGTCCATGACCATCCTGAGGACGTCCTTTGGCCCCAAAGACCATTCTCAGGGAGTACTTTCACCTCCAAGACCATCCTCAGGAGGAACAACAGTACCTGGACCCCATGGGTATAATAGGAAACCGTCTCCTGTCTCATGTCCACCGGTGACGCTCGGCTGCGCTCCGGACACGCGCGCGACCTCTCCCTCCTCGCGGAAGAAGAACGAGCGGCGGAAGGGATCCACGTCCAAGCCCCGCTCCTCGGTCTCTTCGATTAACTCCATGAACTGCGAAAAGAAGGTCACCTGGCGGACTGGACACGGAATACCCGACCTGGCGGACCGGACCCGGACGAAGGTCACGAAGGACGAAGGTCACGAGGGTCTTCACCGATCTGGAGACGGTGGACGGAGAAGCGCAGCAACCGCGGGGTTGGTTTGGAAGGAAGGAAGCCAAAATTGGCGGGAAGAGGTGGGTTTAGGTGGTTTCTTCTTTGGAGAATGACCACCTCGAGCTACATTTGGTATCCCTTATAGGGCTCCAACCATATCCTCAGGTGGTTAGACCTCCCTGGCAGCCACCCCGACCATCGAACCTCAGGAGGTGGGCCAGGAGCCCTAGGGATCATTTAAGGTGGGTGACATGGGCATAAGATAGATCCTAGTCGGGCGTTTCACCTGTAGCATCCCATCAGGGGTCGGGGCCAGGTCTCCTCCCTGTACCTTCGGCGAGATGAAACGAACTCGCCAGCACCCACCTTTGCAAACGAAGGATCTTGTGGTATATGGTATACAATTCAGCATGGATGGCAGGTGTTGAACATTTATGATCTTAGCTTTGAAGTGTCCCAACTCACCTTGCGCCAACTAATCCAATAGAACAAATTGATCCGCTGGTTTGGACTGGGTCTTATCAGCCAAACTTGGTTCCAACTTCCAGTGATGCCCTAGACTTCCGTTCGACCATTAAAATATGATGGTGGACCATGGTTGACCTGGTGGTGTAGTGTAAAGTCCTTAGTAAAACAATGGTTTGTTCGGGATTCAGCCTATTAAATACATGGGTGGCTATAGGCGTACTAGCCAGGTGACCCCTTTGAAGGTGCTGGTACACATAGCCACCTTCTCAAAGGGCAATGGATCCATAGGGAGAGTTGACCAGAAACAGGTCCCTAGGAATCCAGTCGTACCTCCTGCAGAAGCTCTTTAGCATTCTCCTGTCCCCCGGCACCCGGTCCCACCGAACCGAAGAGGCTTCGGTCCGTGTTCGCCCAGGTTCTGTCCGAGGAGCCCAGGTTCCATCCCCCGAACCATCGACCCACCTTCGACCCCTCTGGGTTTGCGAAGAAACCCACCGGTTCGCTCCGGAGCGAAGTCAGTTCTTAGTCCGTTCCAACGGTCGCATCCGGTCGCCGAGGACTAACACTCCGGTGGTTGCCAACGCGTTCGAGCCGAAAAAACCCGCCCGTGCGCCGGTCCGGGGGTTTGGTGGATCTCAGAGTCTCCGGTTTTCGAGGTCCGCAGCAGGAAGTGGATGGCATCTATATAATGTCAACATAGGATTAACCAACCCCCCTACTAATCAAGCCCAGCTGGAGCTTCCAATACTAAACTATAATTTGAACTCTTATCAGGGGGAGGTTCCTTGCCAGAACCCCCCCCATTAATCAAGCCCAGCTCCCCCAGAAAATTGAAGGACCGGATAACCCCACATATGAATCTTTACGAATCTTAAGTTTCTAAAGCACAAAGCAGTCAGAGTCTCAATAGCTTCTACAACATGGCCTTGTCAGGAATTATATCAGAATTGCACAACAGAGGGGTGGGAGAGAGGTGTGGGAGAGTAATGTGCACAGCGGATGTACGAGGTATTGTGCAGACATGTGTGTACAGCCACAACTAGCCGAAGTAAAACCCCATCGCTCTGCCGACATAAAACCCTTTTGGCTAAGCTCTTTTTCATCGCGCAGACGAAAGCAGGTCGTGTTCGTGAATTCTGCACATGGAGGTTCACAAAGTGCTGCGCCTGC